GAAAAAACCTGGCTAATACCATGATTATCCGAACTAGACTGTGTGGTCTTCCTGAGTCCTGTAGGAATGTTTGTGGACTTGTTCTTGTCAGGTTGACTCTAACAATGAGTCTAGACATGGGGCCTTATCTGAGCTCTATCTAAACAGTACAGACACCAGGGGAGTCAGACATCCAGTCTCACTACTGACAAAGACCATCTGGTCGACACTTTACAGCAAGTTCACAGCCAAGAGGTATATTACAAGTGAGAAGGACATGAAGATGGGGTTAATTTAATTCTTAAAATAACATCGTTACCCCACCCTTTCCAAGAAATGTGGTAGGTACCTAAATTTGATCAAGGTGTTAGCATTACACCAAAGCTGAATGCCAAAACATTTTTAACGCCACCAATAAGGTTATGTTTTCAATGCCAATTGTGTGTGCGTGTGTGTTTGTGTGTATGTATGTGTATGTATATGTGTGTGCCTGCACATGCAAAAGTTATGGATGGATCCATATAATTTCTAGCGAGTAGATAATGACATAATTAAATTGTAAATTGCACATCGAGAGCTATGTTGCAAAACTGATGTGGAAAGCTTTATTTCAAATGCACTCTCCAAGTTCAAATCTGGCATGCAATACCATGTGACACGTACATTAAAACTGTCCATTTGTCGTAGGTTCCAAGAGATTCCAAATTACAGCTATCTACTGTGTTGATGAATCTGAACACTTAACAAAGAAGAGTCACCCAGCCTCAACTCTGAGGAGATCAGAGTTTAACTCAAACCACATCCCTGAAGAGATAACTGCACAGATAACAGCATACCTGGTCGTACATCTGCCAACTCCACCATTTCACACAGACAACCTCTGCCCACACCTGACATCAGCACTTGGACTTCACACATCTCACACATAGCTGAGCTCTCGTAAGTCAACCACACCCAACAGTTCAAGTCTTCCTCAACATCTTTCCAAAGCAAATGTACTGGTACCTAATCTCCAAGCAGATCATACGGTGGCAAGGCAGTATCCATTGGCCAGAGGAGTCCGTCCATTGGCCAGAGGAGTCCGACCAGAGGAGTGGAGTATTCACTAACAATAAAGCACTAATAGTAATGGATACTGCCTTGCCACCAAATGATGTACATGCATGGAGATTACTGGTACCTACAGAAATTGTTGTTCTAGATTTGGAAATGTATAAGCAACGGGCACACTTTTGCTTTGTACAAATAAAGGATAATGCTAAATAATGTAAGTGCAATACCAGAGCTATACCTTTTTATACTGTATGTGGCATTTTGACATTTTCCACATAGAAACCTCTCAAATATTGACAAATAGCCAGCTCACTTACTCTTCAGAAATTGCTAAATTTAGAAATCCCCTGAAAAGGAAAACAAATAAATTGGATAATGCCCCAGTTACTCAGTCATCAATGACTGATTTCTTCTCCACTCTGAATTGGTACACAGCTTGCCAATACTTAGATGAATTGCTGAAATAGGAAAATCACATTAAAGAAACCCAATATATAATATATTATTAGATTATGCCCTGGCAGTGCCTTTTGACACTAAGCGACCCCAGTTCACATGATTCCTTCAGAACCAGTCACCACTGAGACCCTGTTTACATCATCCTTAATGGGAACCAGATTTCTTTAAGGAAAGGCAGCACTTCTTAGAGATAAGTCACATTCTGAGTCACCTTGAACAGACTCCATGTCTGGTCTTGACTTTTCCATGTGGGGTAAAGGAGGGTCTGCATGGGGGGGTCCTGGCAACGGTTAACGGTAAATTCAGCAGGGCCGATAACGCTTAACGGTAAATTCAGGACGGTCGGCAACGCTTAACGGTAAATTGACAGGCTTTTTTTCGAGCTGCACTGGCTTTGGTATCTCGCTTTGTGAGAAAAGGTGATCACTGACAAAATTACGTATACCTTACATGTAATGAAGAACGTATTAAATCATTAAAGGTATGTGTTCCCAGTGTTTCCCACCTGCCCTGGTCCCCTAATTTGTCCACAAATAAAGGGGAGTCCGAGTCGACGTCGGCCAAGGCTCTACCCAGCTTGACTTTTTTCTGACCGCCAAGTTTTACCGATGGATTTTGGCGCTCGCAATCTAAGGGGGTCCGGGGAGTGCTCCCCGGGAAATTTAGGATTTTTAAGCCTTCAAAAACGAAATTTTCCGCATTTTGAGAGGTTGACGGATTCGTAAAAAAATTCTGTAACGCTCCGCAAACTTCCGGTAATTGACGGAAAACTGGTGCTGGCTAGAGCCGAAGGGGACCAAGCGCTGAAGGCACGAGTCGAGCGCCAAAGGCGCGAGCAATGAAGAGGGGTCCGGGGGCATTCTCCCCCGGGAAATTTTGTATTTTTGAACCTTCAATGACGCATTTTCCTGCACTTTGAAAGGCAAAATTAGGCGTAACGAAGAATTATTCATTAACGCTTAACGCTGAATTTAGGATGACAAATAACGTTTTACGTTGAATTAAAACGACCAATAACGCTTAACGATGAATATACTGATAACGCTTAACGTTGAATTAGAGCGGGCCGGTAACGATTAACGGTAAATTAAAATAGCCCATAACGGTTAACGAAAAAGGGCATGCAGACCCTCGTAAAGGGCAGTGACTGAAGTAACAAACTGTCTGTCAGAGTCAGGGCTGTTTACGGCATTGAGAGTTTGGTGGCTGCAGCAAACTGTTACTAAGGCCGAAGAAAAGGAATATTGTGTTTCCTGGTACCCAATCGACTCGAGCAAAAACCCTGCCGAACCTAGCCTTTCCTTGTCCAACCATTGGCAAGGAACATAATCTTTTTTATCCAAAATCTGAGTAATAAAAAGTTGTAAAATCAGGTGAGTTATGGTAGCAGTTTTTTTAATGAGTTTTTAGGATTCTCCGTCCTTTTTCTGTGTTTATTGCTTCAATCTCTTTTCAAGAGATTTCAGAAGATGAACATGTAGGATCCAGAGATTGTAACAAATTAGCATTTTTTTTAATATATACCTACAGTATAAACTTTTCAATACAATAATACATGTACCACCAAAGAGTGTTAAATGAAGCTGGGTATAGTATCAGTTATGTACATACACTTGTGCCCTAATTTATACTCATGGGGCGCCAAAAATCCACCAGGCTTTTTCCTAAAACCTCCTTGGAATGCTGTTAATTTCTCAAAGCCGAAAATCGGACATTCTTGTCGGCAGAACCAAGGTATAGTGGCTAGGGAGAACCAACAAAGTTAAAACCTTGAAATGTAAGACCTACAAGGTAGTATTATTGTCACTGCCAACAATACAAGTGATACAATTCAGCAAATGGAGTGGAGCTAAACAAACTGACCTCCAAGATCTGGTATCATGATAAGGATATAAAGTTACACCTATGCCTGCAAATTTCTGTGTAATTTAAACTTTCAGTGGGCTTTACTAAAGAAATATCTCATTAATTTAGTTTTTTATATGATCAAGGTGGTTATCAATAACCTTCTTGTAAAGTTTAGTAAAAGAAAATGTCATAAAATACCAGGATATGTTAAACTTTAAACCCAAGTAAGAGAAAGAAACAAAGGCATAGCTGCAGTCTTAAGTGGGGGCCACAAATTAATTATGTCCTTGTAATGATTTTGTGATCGGCAAACTCATTAAACTTTGTTAATTATTACCTAACGGTTCATGAACAGTCCATTTTTCATCATGGACAGGTCATACAAATAAAGAAACTTTTTTTTCTCAATTCAGTCCTTCTTTGTGGGACATTATCTACATGTATGTAACGAACAAAAAAATATTACAGTTAAGGTTACGATGTAGCCTGTTTATATAGCAAAGTTATAGCGAACTAGAGTTCCCCGATCTCATACCTTCGCCACATGATGTTAATCTTTATGACTGACAAATTATAGATTAGATTATTCCCCCTGATTTAAGAAATAGGAACCTAATTTTCATGAATTATATCATTTTATCATAATCTCAACCAAAAGACAGTCTTATATTAACAAACAATGCATTCTAGCATTTCCTAATAAATTATGCAAATGAGGTCCTGATTTGAATAAATTATGTTTGATGATGTTCACCTCAACTAAACTTTCAAATACCACAAGTATGAAATTCCAGGCAGTTATCATTACATAATTATAAAATTTTCTCATTAATTATGCAAATTAAGTCATTATTAACATAATCAATATCTTCCTGTGTTTCTCTCATTGTCAATTACCAATGTCACAAGCTTCAATTGTCCTATCATGGAATGCAGCTGATTTATAGAATTTCCCCATAAATTATGCAAATTACATCCATATTTGCATAATTGTCACATAATTATATTAAACATCGCGTAAGCTACCTACATACCAAAAATCCGTCAATCGGTTCTTGAGTTATCCCCTTTTGAATATTTTCAAGAATATATCCCTGCAGTTCTAGAGCAAGCCGCTAGGGGGCCCAAACTCACGTCACTTCTTCCCCAGCACAAGAGCTACCTACCATCCAAATTTCATCACCATAGCATGTCTAGATCATGAGATATCAAAACCGGAAGTTCAGCTGCAATACCATAACAAGCCGCTAGGGGGTCCAAAATCTAATCATTTTGAGGTCTCATCAAGACCTACCCACCTACCAAGTATCAAGACAATCCATCAAGGCCTTCTCAAGTTATCGTGTTTACAGACAGACACACACACAAACACACACATACACGAACGCCCCTGAAAACATAACCTTCTTGGCGAAGGTAATAACGGTGATGACTTTACGCAAAGAAATTACACTGAAGATTCCTGTGATCCAAGTTGTTGATTTGTTGTTGAAATCTACAGTACAAGAGAAAACACGAAATCGCAAGGCCAATTACGATAATGTCATTTGATGGTAGCCACTCTAGATCATTCTTCTAAGAAATGAAAGTATTCTGACAACGTTAAGGCGTTTATTTCCCTTCTTATAAGTGTCTGAATGAAAACGGAGCTCCTATCTCACCTGGTGCCGTGGCTCTATTGTTCTGGGCGGGCACACCTCGCTGCATGTCCCCGGCTGGAACCGACAGCGACCGCTGCATCCCATTAGACGCCATGTCCTCGCGAAAATCACACGACAGAAAACAGCCTTCAGCACAAGTTCAGTCCCGAGAAGACACGGATCGTGGCTGAATTAAGGTGGCAAACCTACACAAACACGGGAGAAAAGTTTTTAAGTGTGCCGCCATTTTTCCACCACAACGAAGTCCATCTGTTGCCTTCCTCGAAAACAACGCCCAAGCGGTAAAAACTAGCGAGAAAACTCACCACAAGGCTGGAAAGAGCTTGAAAATATCCTAATGCATAACATACCTGAGTTTCAGACATGTAACTGCCCGGTTTCCTGTAGAAATGCCGGAATTGTGGTGTGTTTCGTGCGAAGTTTTGGGCGGAAAGTCGCCACACGTTTGGCACCTTCCGACTTCATTCAGTCGGGACGCTGGAAGGTTACATTCGCACGCCGGGGGTGGCCAGGGTGGGAGGGGCTTTGTTGTTATTTCAAAATCTGTGTATCAATCTCTCTCTCGTGATCTTTCTCTCGCTCACTCATTCATTTTTCCCAATCAATACAAAGAAAAATTGACGAAAACGTCTTAAATTCTCAACTATAGAATGTACTTTTGATACAAAATACGTCGATGAAGGTTAGACATCCAGGTAATACGATACGCCAAAAAGTAGTTACTCAAGAAACTGGATATGATTTTGAAAACGTCAAAAATCTTTGACGTTTTCAAAATCATATCCAGTTGCTTGAGTAACTACTTTTTGGCGTAAAATGTACAGCATCATACATATGTACGAGACAATGTCAATTGTAAGTGGTCCGTATCCAGAAGTGGTCAAAAGCACAAGTGTCACTGTGTATAGTCATCACGAATGTCCAGTTTGCTGCATTGTGCTCCAAGATGCAGAATCATTGACAGTGTGACGGACCACTAAGCATTGTGTTCATTTTACCCCAATATGTACATGTATGTATGTAACGTTATGTATGTATGTCAATGAGCGCCTCTAGCGGTTAAAAATATTTTTGCAGCTGCACTTTTAATCTAGGTAGCTGGGGTGTAGGGATGTTTTTTTTTATTTCTTCAATCATGACATTTCCTATGCAAAAAATGAGCACATAAATTTTGTGATGTTGATGAGACAAGATGTCTCTGTGTTTTAATCGATATCAATCGTGAAAAATAGGTACATGGAAATACATTGATGAGATCATATAATGGAATTATAATATTATCTACATCTTTAACAGAAAATCCTATTTCAAATACTAGTACAATAGAGCTGTGTACCTAAACAAATTTTAGGTACAGGTACAGGTACAGGTACACAGGTTTAGGTACAGGTCCGGACCTGAACCTGTACCTGAACAATTCGACCAATTTATATGCTCTTCTGAACTCCTTCAATAACAAAAAAACATAAATAAACTTGATAGTTAAGGTTTATTCTTTGTTTATGGCGAATGCTCAGATAAAATATAGGCAAAACTAAGATGTTTTTGTTTTCATGAACACACTGTCCTTACACAGGCACCCATTGTTAACCAGCTATTTAAACATTTGAGGTCACAAACAGGCATAAAATTGGTGTGAAATTGTTTAGGTACAGTACCGGTACTGAGGGATTAGGTATTTTGGACCTGTACCTAATCAATTTTTCCGGTACAGTATCGGTACTGCGTACCGGTACACAGCTCTATAGTACAATATACATTTTAGTAGCAATGCAAGAAACTTATACATGTATATACTTGAGTGTAATTCTAATGAGGTACTTGCAGTACCTGTACATTGATGTTCCAGTATTTTGGGTTACCTTTACCTAAATGATTTACACATTACTATACTCAGGCATTGGGTACTAGTATCAGTATACAGAAGTGTGCATACTGTCTCTCTAAAAGGCAGCAGATTCATATATACAGATTATCTCTGATAATGTTATTTTATGAATCATAAGACACTTCCTGAATTATCAATAGTTATCTACAGTAACATTTCCATAATACATGATAGGAATGATATTACACAAAATAGCTGACTAATATTAATCTGCTATTGCAATGATATGTCATATTGTACCACAAAAAATATATTAAGTACAACCTACACATTATCATATCAACTGGTTACATCCTATAAGACTTAAATCATCTGGTTACAAACATGTACATACTGCAAGACTTAAATCACCTGATATAGATCCTACCAGACTTAAATCATCTGTGTTTTCTGAAAATATCCTACAATATTTAACTTGTTTTCTCACAAATTGGCTACTCTTATTAAAGCAGGTCCTCTTTCATAAAAGCAAATATTACAATTTGCTATATTTACACTAATGCTATGGTGACTTTAAAACTACAATTTCTTAAATGGTCAACTACAATACAAAGTACGGACCTTGAAAAGTTGTCAAACCACAAAATACAACATTAATTGACAATGTGTACAGGTAGCGATAAGTAAATCTGGAATGTAACGTCTAATAGTAGAGTGATAAGATACAATCCGAATACAGGCGAACCATATTATGTACAATATAGTAATCAAATCATTTAAAAGACAAGCTCCATCAAATATATCATCTCTGCATTCTACAAATACAATTAAAATTAATAGCAAAAGTATCATTTGTACAAATATCCATTGTATACAATTCTTAGACTATTAGTATTTGTATTACTAATATCATGGCTGTCATACTTGTCAAAAGAAACTTAACTGCATTGTTATACTCATAGGAATCCTGACCATGTGAATCACACAGGTGTTTGTAGAGGAAGTACATGGCATTGTATGGTATTGGAGGTATGCTGTCTACCAAGAATATTTATGCATATGCCCCTTGCAATTTCATGTGTTATTCAAGGAATAAGAGGAAGGGCCCTTTATAAATGTCATTCACAATCAGATATGTCAAAATTGTGATGTTAGCTAAATCTACATATCAAAATGTGTATGATCCTTTGCATACAAAATTGTACAGAATTAAATGTCAGTTGCCTCTATCAATTTCAGTGTGGAGTTTTTACTAATCTGTTTCTTTTCTTGGCTTCTTTGGTGAGAACTTTCCACTCTTCTGTTTTCTTTTTCTGCTGGGTGAATCTTTTGGTGCAAACTTTTCATCATACTTCTGTTTCTTATATTGGCTTGTTACAATGACAAGATAACAAAAGCTCCGAGACATTGCAACATAGTTTAGGTCCATCATGACGCTACTTTCTTCATCAATAGGGGGGTCAAACAAAATGACAACCTTTCTCTCCAGCCCCTTGAACCTTCGGATACTATCAACAGTAATGGCAGGTTTGTTTGGAGGTCGAATGGCCTCTTCTGCATCTTGTGTCAGAATGTTGTAACCATTCTTAAATATCTTACATACTTCATCTCGTTCTTTCACGTCCTTTGTGAGAACAACTATGTCAGACCTTCCTACTGACTTACTATCCAGATCAGCTATTTCCTGCATCACTAACTCAGTTCCCTTCTCCAACACATCACTGGGAGAGATGTGGAAGGTAACAGTAGGAAGGCTGTCTATCCATTTTACTTGTTTTCCAACAATGCCATGGTCTAGTTCTGCAGCCACGTCCGAAGACAAAAATTTCCGGGAACACTCGAAAATGTTGAAAGTATTGCGGACAACTCGATGCATTGTATTGTCAACAGTCTTTTGTGGCATGTAGTTTTGGCTTCCAAAGTAAACACTTTGGCTGTTGTCAAAGAAAACCCACTTGTACCGTCTCTCCTCATTACTGCCTACAACATCATGATGCAGTAAGTTAACAAGGTTCTCCCACAGCCCATACATGTCCTGCCCTTCATCCACAAACACATGTTCATATTTGTATGTCTTTCTCAGGTCTGGATTCGACTGCATCCGATACAGAATCTGAATACAGTCAGAAACAAGTTTCCTCTTTTCATCGTCATCTTCTGGTAAATCTCTTGTTTCCTTTATTTCCTGCAAGATCTTCGCAAATGTTCTGACTTCTACCTTTCCTGCAGTGGGGAAGTTTTTGAACTCAGCTTTCAAATACAAAGAAAGTGGTCTGTTGAAACACATGATCAGGATTCTTTCATGAGCCTTTAGTTTACCTGCTACTTGTTTTGCCTTCTTCAGTAGAAGCAGGGTCTTGCCGCTGCCCGCTGGCCCCGTGATGTACTGCTTTGGGACGCCCTCTGTCATGATTCTCAGCTGATCCTCTGTCCACAGCATGATCCTCCTGTGTGTCTTGTCAATCACATCTTTCAGCAGACAGGACTCAGTGCCGACACGAGTGCCTACAAACCTGCAATCATGGACAATACATAAATATGATAATGTGCAATTATCAATGACACTATATACATTGTACAATACCATCAATGGAATCTACGCTATTCAAGCTCCAATGCTCACTTCTAATTCTATGCAGAATAGTCTAAGCCATGGTTACAACATGCTATGATATTCCTGACAACCTCTCACCACATCCTGCTGCAACTTTCATACTTGAGGTCACCATTACACATTTATCTCTGCCCACTCACTCTGAAATCCAAACATTCAAACTCAGCATAAATCATACATAGCACCACCCAAAATACATTTTACTTTCAAACAATATACATGTACACTACAGTGTGTGTGCAATAATTAATGTGTGCATATTTTATCATACCGCATAGCCATCAGCTTATACATGTCCTCAGAAAACACCTCTGTCCTGTGCACATTCTCCTGCCACCACTTCTCAAAGTTTGCCACTGACTGGATGTCCTCTTTGAAACAGCCGTCTTTACCCAGAGCCTTGTCTCTAGGGCAGTTTGGCATGACAACGAAGCCTTGACACTTCTTTAACTCTGCTTCAATGGTTGTTCCATGTTTCCCGAGGTAGAGTCGATGTTGCTTTAGGAAACTGGCCATAGACGCCTGATCTCTTTTGAGTTGTGACATTGCATCGCCAAAGACATGACAAGTTTTAATACGAGCCTTCACTTGGAAGAATATAACACCTAATGTTCGATGAATGACCACAAAGTCAGTTTCTCCATCAGGGCAATCCTCAACGACCTCCTTAAAATCAAAAGAGTGCACAACAAACATTGACTGCTCTTTTTTCTCCCCAAATTCCTGTAAAATGTCAAAAACATGTTTTTCCGTGAGTTGCCCTCTTAGCTCCTCCTTTTTGTTGATGTCAGGAAAGGTGGGTGGAATCATATATGTCGTCCTGATGTTTGCTTTGTTCCAATCAGGACAGTTTTTGGAAATCCACTGTAATACTCCTTGATCAAAACTGACAGGGTCGTTTTCAGGTAAGTCTGCTTGTGCTGGGCGTCGAACAATTGGATCCATTTTCCTGCAAAGGAAAACATTTCTGTCAATTAACTGGGATCAGTAACCAGGGCTCAGTGCAGCTGTGGGAGGGGGGCAATGTTAAAAGTGAAAGTGACGTCACAATACAATCTGTGTTGTGATCTTGTGCATGGCCCCGCTGTACTAAGCCCCAACTCGAGAGTTGGGATGACCCATGTACTAGTCCAACCCCAACTTCAATGTTTGGACAGATCTTTGTGTAACCAAGGACAAGCTCCTTGGTGTAACATGGTGTGCAACACTTGCTACACGAATGTTACCCAACACCATAGGGTGTCTGCTAATTTATAAAAGAACTGTTTGTCTGATACCAGCGGTCAAAAGATCAACGAAAGATCTGCTCGGTAGTTTTATTTTTCAGTCCACAAAATATGACAAATAAGTCTTATTAGTTGACCATAAGACATAGATACGTACCTGGGAAGCACTTTGGCTACAGGAGGTCACGGTTGTGCTGAAAGTATACGGCCAGCAAAAGACACGCCCGGGACCCACAAAGAACACGGCTCCTTTGTTCTGGGCCCGGTCAGCGTTCCCAGTTTCGTCGTCTGGGGCAAATATGTGACGGCAATGGGCGAGGCAGTGTTTGGTCTTAGTTGCCATGGCGATTTACGTTTGACAATGCAGTTGTTTGCTCAAATTACTGTGAACAGTTGCTACCTTGCGATTGCTGGGGGAACGACATTGTACTTCGGAGAGTAGCAACGCATATCTGACCAACATAGTGAACAATAGCCTCTACACGATTTACGATCCTGCATCTGGCAGCAGCATTTCGTGTCTGGGGAAGCCATGTTGATGATGATAAAGGTCCTGAGCCTCCCAGAGGGAACCATGTACTCTGATTACCCACATAATGTAGCGGTCTGACAAGAATGTTCTGCACATTTTAGAAAGTTCAGTGAGTAGGCATGTTGACGTCTTGTTTCTAAGAGAAATCAATTTCTGTTTATACATAATAGTATATAACGCAAGAGTTCGCTTGTAGTGATTTTGAATTAGTCTATATAACATAACTACCTAAGTCCATGCTAAGTCCAAGTCATTGAAGGACTAGTTTGTTAGGACTTTTCCTGTATGTATTTGCTCATGAAAACTGAGTAACTTGAAATTCACCAAAGGTTATTATATGTCCGTAAAGAAAACCCGTTTCCCCGGCTGTCGTTATTGTCTCTTTTAGGATGGTACTAAACTGTCAAAGGTCACCTAAGCTACTTGTTAGACCGGTTTTTGTTGACATCATGCACGTAGAGTGTTTTTTTAGAGCGCTGTGACTCTAAAACTTTATATTCTTTCGCACATTATGTGAGCTCTCTGTTACTTTGGTAACTTGATTAAGGACTTGTATTCGGTACACCAAGATGTTTGAGATCGCGTACACGTAGGAGCCCAAGGAAAAAGTGGAAATGTCGTATCGGGACGTGAGAGTTGGGAAAAGCCGGTCGCAGTCAACATGGCCGACCCTACAGCATTATACATGCACATGATGTTGTGGCTGTTTGCGACTCGCACAATACGCTAAGGTGAGTTCTGTGGTGTGAATCTGGTAGGAGATAGATATCCACACATACGTTTATACGTAGCCGTACTGTACATGTACATGTACTGTACTGTACAATATTACATTGTTATCTTCGCTAACGTTGGTGGTATAACGTGTTTACAGTGTTTGTAGCAAAACTCAAAAAGCTTAGGACGGGCCGGGTTGTCATTAAATTTGATAAAAAAATTCTTTGTATATTTTATTTGTTACATGCCATGAAAACACACTTACTGAACTGTTTAATCATGGCCGTTAACTAATGTTAGGATGGGAACAAGGTTCATCCCAGCTGTGGACAAGACGCTGCTGTTGGCGGCGATCGTGTCTTTCATCATCGGCAAGTAAGTCTTCAACAGACTCCGTATCATCTTTGGTTTAGCAGTAACATGTAAGATGAAGTTCAAAATATTATCTGTTTATTTATAAGCAAACCAACTACAACTTGAACTGAACAGATAGAAATTAACAGAGAATACATATGCCAACACCAACAAACTGTGATATATGTAACGCAAACCTAAGAAACATGAGAAAACATAAGGAGCATGTGAAATAAAAATTCTATATCTTAGACGTAATAAGTATAGTAAGAGTGGTAAACGGACAGACAGGGAATGTAGACATTATAATTTGATACTTAAGAATAAGTACATCATTGATTATATAAAGGCAAGGATGTTGATCTTGGCGAAAATGTTTTAGAACTATACCCCTATTTGAAAACAAATGACAAATGTCACGTTTCCCTCACAGCACCTTGACCACCCTCTGGTGCTGGCTCCCTGCTCTAACCTGTAACACAGACCGCCCGGTTACAACCAGGGACATCGGCAGGAACCTCGGGGCTCCAGCTGGATACGAAATCAAGACAATTCTGCGAGTCTCGCGGTATGAAGGCGACAACAATCTACCATCGGACCCTCGTGTTACAGAGTCAGTATTGTTAGAGATAGACGTTTTACATTAACATTGTCTATTTAAATGTCACATAGTTAATGTAACTCAAAACCACTAGATTTTAGAAACCATGCTCTAACTGTGTTGCACATTTGATGTTTCTGCCCTTAGAGTTTTGGGTAACTACGGTTAGTTAATCGTTGAATTACATATATAAGGACTCGGATTATATTTTCTCCTTGCTGAGTAAAACACTATGATTATGAAATAATATACAAAGAATACAGCCAACTAGCCAAAGACCCAAGTAGCCTAAGTGTCAGAATTTCCCGAATCAACAAACTGTAGAGAACTTTCTTAGAAATGCTGCATTGTTTCTCCAGGTACCTAGGAGAGAAGCCGTGTGTTTGTACAGGAAAGCTGCACAAGGACTTCTTCTCCGAGGCAAAATGGAAAGAAAGACAAAAAACGCAACGTGCCAGTCTGGAGAGATACACACGACGGTGAGAAATCACAGCCTTGTCTTTTTCATTATTTTTGATGGTCTAAGACAATGCCATTTGCACCACTGTACATGGAGCCGCACTGTATAGCATAATTTTCAGAACCGTTACTTGTCGTAAGCTGACTGTTGCAAAAGCTTGGACTATAGTACTTCACTTAACTTCGTTTTACAGACGACCAGATTTTAAAGATTTCCACAACCAAGTGGACGGATTGTCCCCCATCAGCTACCCCGCACACGGCCTGTACGTACGTCCTCTCAGGGCTGTGCAGCTGGAAGGTACGTAGGTACATCATACATGGACATCATACATAATGTCCTTGGTACATGTATCACTGTCTTTTAGTGGCTGTGCGATTAGCGTTAACCTCGTAACAATACAATCGAGAGCTCAGATTTATCTCTACGTATACGGTGCTGGGAGTTGCCGGCAATTTTTACGGGGTTGGCTTCTTTGTCATGTGCAGCCGACACTTAAATATCAAAGTATGCGGAATTATCAAACGTCATATTTATGCTAATATGTTTACCAGGTCTTCGAATCGAGTGGTTTGATGGCAGGAAACAGTCCAGCGGTGCAGACCTTGGTGTGAAACTCCTCGCCAGGAGAGGGGTGTTCAAACTGCTGGCCGCTGTGGAGGGCGTCAGGGCGGCCGGCGTGAAGACCGCAAGCCTGGTCATCCGGACACCGGATCCGGACCGCCTCAACCTACAGTTGCAGCAGATAGTCTACCAGAATACGGAATTTGACGGAAACATGGTGGATATAGGTACGTTTCTCTCACTGGTCTTCTATTATGAAGTATCAACATACATATACGTGTTTCTAACGTGTATTCTATGCATGCAAATAAGTTAAAGCAATACTTTGGTGCAGTTACGATCATCATGAAAAGTATCCCACCGTATTTAACAACTGAATGGTCATTTTAAAACCGCCTTGTTCTTCCAGTGGAACTTTACTTTGGCAAGTTCAACGCCACCATCCCGATCCACATCCAGCACCGGCAGGTCACGTGGCTTTACCCGCAAGGAGCAGGTGAGACTAGTAAAACAACACTTAACTCTCAACTCACGTACAGCAAACTTGTACACCCTCATCAGTATCACCACGATCAGTTGTAGAACCGCATTCTGTTATAAGCTAAACCTGTAGGATTCAAAACCGTTTCCGTGCATTTTTCTTCAAATGTTCAGGATTTGACGGTGTCAGTGTATTCTCTCGCCAGGCAGCTGATTGAAGATTCTACCCTGGAATCAGATTGTTTTCTGTCTTCCACCCTCTATCCAGGCAGAGTTCAGGACAGGGTAACTGTGGTAGTGAAGGCGTTTCTCCGGTACGACCACGTCAGACAGCTGATCGCCAGCTTCAGAAAGTTTTACCCTGGTACCAGAATCATCGTAGCAGACGACAGCCCCAAGGAGAGATACCAAGACGTTAAGGAAGAGTTCACACATCACTACAGGATGCCGGACTATGCCGTATGTTATCGGTTGTGTTTATTATGTTTACCGAAAGAAAACATTGTTTTTGTTCTGTTTCCTCTTCTTCTGCTCCAAACCAATAAGGTCAATGACCTGAACCAGACGTCTGTCACCATGGTAACTAGTGTTGGGTTACATCATGTTGCAAGTTTATAGTAGGATGGATTTAGACTCCTGTCTGACCATATACATGAATGTGTTTGAGTAAGAATTAACAGAGCAGACCATGTGCGAAGGTAAACATTATGTAGTTGCTTTTGAATGTTACCTTTTTACTTTAGTTGTTTACAATCTTGATACTTGATACTTTTTAGTTTGAATTTGTAGAACGATTCATGAACCAGTCGTCGAAACGTCAGCTAGTGTGAAACAGGTGGTTGTGAAGAACTTGATGATTTTATGACGTTTCTCTTGAAGGGATTCTTCGCCGGACGGAACCTGGGGTTGTCTCAGGTCACTACTGAGTACTTCCTGTATATGGACGACGATCACTACCTCAAACCTTCCACCAAACTGGAGACCCTGATGTCGCTCCTGGACAACACAGACTTTCACGTGGTAAGCCAGGCCTCTGTCTGGAGCTATATTTTTGTCAACTACTAAAGCTTTGACTTCAAAGCTTGAAAGAACTCGTGCACTCGTCTAGTGGGTAGGTACTCACTTTGCATTTGCGCGTGTTCAAACCCCTACCGATTTTGAACGGACTATCCAGAATTTATGTTTTTGGATGCGCGGAGACAATGGGTCCAGGACCCTGCCTAACTTATCCCACTCAGGCATAGAACTGCAAAGTACAGTTATGGATACGATAAATACTATCCAGAACGAACCGTGTCTTATGATCCCAAAGCTAACCCATTCAGACATAGGCAAGTTTCTGGACACAATGTTACCTCACCTCCCCCCCCAGGCCAGCGGTGCGTACGAGGATCTGGAGGAGTTTGCGTCAGCTATCCGGGTGGTGGGGAACCAGACGTACGCCTGCTTCGAGAAGCTGCGGAAACATTACCACGAGATCGACGGTTTTCCTGGTACACGGCACTGTTATTAGAAACGTTTACTTCTACGGCAATGCTTGGAGTGTGGTGGTTGGGGCATAACGCTGCACTGCACCTGACTTTGCACTGCACCATAACCACACAAGCCATGGCCATTGTTGTATATATGCAGAGCCGTGCTTTATCCAAAACCATGTACTAAGTACGGTTAGGCACGGTTTTGGAATACTCCACACGCGTATTAAGCAAATCTACGATCTTTGAAACACGGAGACTTTCCAGATCCGTGCCTGATCCTAACCCTAACACATCCATGCATAGAACTAGATAGCCACGTTTCTGGATACTATAGCCATTTAGTAGTACGTAGCTGACCAATTAAGCTGCAGTATGAAGTACATGTAGAACCAGTCAGTATTGCCATTAGGCCATGTTGATTTGATTATATGGATGACATCCGCGCGCGCATGAATTTTCGGCCGTTTCCAAAAAAAAAAGTTTTCAACCATACTGTAAATCGTACAAAACAGTCGCAAAATGAGCAAAAATATACCATAAGTTACAAAAAAAAATTAATAAAAACTATATCAATGTCGAAATTGTAAAGAAATGAACTGGAAGACTAGATTATTCGCCAAACCATATTCTGTGCCATTTGCTCAACCCTCGATCATGACCACGTAGATTTCATAATAAAAAGAACTTTTTTTTTGCAAAACTTTTTTTTTATTCGCACGCGCGCATCAGTTTTGGGGCTCCCTGAGGATGTCATCCATATAATCAAATCAACATGGCCTTAGGACGTTACTAGTAGACGTAGACGATCACCAAATCGTACCTGGCAGGTGTGTGGTGATTCATTAGCCAGATGAGACTTCACTCACGAGTACAATGTATAACAACCATGTTCCAGACTGTTACGCGGCGGACCACACCGAGAATTTCTTCCTGGCGTCCACGGCTGAAGTCAAGGCGGTTGGTTTTGATCCGAACCCCGCCCAGGCTAGGGTAGGACATCAAGGTAAATACACAATGTGCAAATGTAACATCAGGGGCTTATAGTAACAGTGTAGCACCGCCATATTTTCCATTACATACTTCTGAATGCACTATTTGCACAATTTTAGAAGATTCTTAGATAACTTAACAAATAAAGATTTAATAAAGTAGTAATCTGCGATATTCAATGATAACACTGAGAAGCATTTATACGTTTACATGTATTTAAATTCCAGGTATGATCGCAGAGAACCCATGTTTTCAAATAAAAAATGGTGCTGCTTTCAACGCTGGTATAGGGACTAGGTATGTAAAAAAGTTACAATTTGTTCTAAGATTATTCCCTTGAATCGGTGCAGAGTTCTTCACGGCCGCCCTGGGACGGCTCCGGGTCGCGGTGTGCCGGTTCGTCATCGTGGGGCACAACAAGTCTGCCGAGCCCGACCCGCTGTACGAGAAATACCGCCGAACCAACAGGTATCATACCGGAGTTTCGGTCACCTCACTACTCCTGTGCTAACAGTGCTATAGTTTGTATTTCACATGGTATATATATTACGATATCATAAATTGACCTTGAGCCTTGAACAGATAATTCAAAGGTTCCCTCAAGGTTCAAGAATCATAAATTAATGTTCTTTATTTCAGTATGAATATATGATTAAAATAATTAGCCGTCCTTTCTTTTCTTTCTTTGTTTTTTTTCTTCCTTCCTTCATTTCTTCTTTCTTGCATATTTGTCTCCGTCTGACCATCCTTTCTCCATTCATGAATTTACTCATTAATGTGCTCATTCATTCATTCATTCATCTCATCCCTCCTTCCCTCCCCAGACGGTACCGTGACATGAGGACCATGCACAACCTATTCCGGGACAACCTGACCTGTACCGGCCTGAAGTACCCCCGGATAGAGACATACGCGCTGCACATGATGATATCTGCCGTCATCATTATATGTGGAGTTTACATAGTTACAGAACTGTAACTAAGGCCGTCATCATTATATGTGGAGTTTACGTAGTTACAGAACTGTAACTAGGGCCGTCATCATTATATGTGGAATTTACGTAGTTACAGAACTGTAACTAGGGCCGTCATCATTATATGTGGAGTTTACGTAGTTACAGAACTGTAACTAGGGCCGTCATCATTATATGTGGAGTTTACATAGTTACAGAACTGTAACTAGGGCCGTCATCATTATATGTGGAGTTTACGTAGTTACAGAACTGTAACTAGGGCCGTCATCATTATATGTGGAGTTTACATAGTTACAGAACTGTAACTAGGGCCGTCATCATTATATGTGGAGTTTACGTAGTTACAGAACTGTAACTAAGGCCGTCATCATTACTGTATATGTGGAGTTTACATAGTTACAGAACTGTAACTAGGGCCGTCATCATTATATGTGGAGTTTACGTAGTTACAGAACTGTAACTTAGGCCGTCATCATTATATGTGGAGTTTACGTAGTTACAGAACTGTAACTAAGGCCGTCATCATTATATGTGGAGTTTACGTAGTTACAGAACTGTAACTAGGGCCGTCATTATTATATGTGGAGTTTACATAGTTACAGAACTGTAACTAGGGCCGTCATCATTTTTGTGGAGTTTACGTAGTTACAGAACTTTGTGTTGATGATCGCAAAATACAAAATTGAAGATTGTTGCAATGAAAGAAGAAACTATTCACATGATGTGGAGCCTAAACTGTGGCCTTCTGTTGCTTCTGCATCTGCATCTGCATCTGTATAGCCGGTATAACCGCCTTCCGGCGTAACACACCAGCTTCGCAGGCACGCGGCGCGGCGGCAGCTGGCTATATTACACCGATCGACTTGTTACACCTAACCCTTGAACTTCTAGCTCTAGACATTGTTTAAAGCTATCTATTGACAATGCCCCTACTGTACTTGGTGACAGTGAGTTCCACTCTGCGATAGTTCTAGGAAAGAATGAATTCTTGAACACCTCAATCCTTGGTTGATAACTCTGGTACTTGAATGCGTGGCTATTTCTTGTTCTCTTCCGGGCTGGTATTAGGTACTTAGTAGTTGGGACATCCACCAGTTTATTATTCATTTTGTACATCATGCATAGTCTAGACATCTTTCTTCTGTCTTCCAGTGAGGTCCACTGTAGGTTTCTTTTCATTTCCGTGACACTAGCACCTCTTACATAGTTGTTCATACAGAATCTTGCTAGGGTATGACAGCACCCTTTTCCTAAAGGGTCACAAAACTACATTAAGGGTTACTAGTGCGCAGTTAGTCATGTCTTCTGAGACCGACTGACAGAGAGTGAGAGTATTTGTCTAGACAGGACGTACCAAAAAGTAAGAGGGGTGTATTGAATACTGGAAACAAACTGTCAGAGCACTAGAGAAACAACCCGAAATGCACTCAGCAGTGATGTTGGCGACAAAAGTACAACACCAACTGTTAAACCCCAAAAAAATGAAGTACAAAAGAAAGAACGTCATCAGCAATTGATCAGAGGAGATAAGAATAGGATGACCTGGTAACAAGACAACCACCTCCAGTTTCCCGCCGAAAAGAACAGGTCCTGCCGGGTACTTTTCCATGATACTATTTTCGCTTCTTGAAACCCTTGTCCTGCTGTGCACAACATATGTCGCGCGGCACATACAGTACCATCTATATAACACCCTGTATATGTACGATTTGGGGGTATTTCTCGTGCAACGCATCACACCGCAGCGAAACGCAACGAATGCGGAAGAAACTATGCCACTGCAGGGCAAAAAAATTGGGGGTCTATGATCTAATTAAGACATGAAATTATTGAAAAATATTGTACCAGGAATGCCAGCAGGACAAGGGTTAAGTTTGAAACCATTTACCAAGATTACCCTAGATGACACGAGTCTCTCCACTCTGGAAATGCTGATTTATTGAAAGAACTTTCTAACCCTGTGTCTTATCAATTGTTCGCGTCCAAATCCATTTAAGTTTTGCATATTACAAACCACTTTGCGTATCTATTTCGGGCACGTCTATCACTTTGTTATTCACTTATTGGAACCACCCAAGTGCTCGTGGGCGATAGGTTACTAGTATAGCTGAGGCATTTTGATTGCAGAATCGGGACAATCTAATAGCGTTGCAAAATGTGAGATGCTCCTAGCTGTAGATTAGATGGCCAAAATCGCAATAACTAAGATAAAAATAAACACCTTGCCAAGCCAGCCACCCCCTTGTTTGTGAAAATGGGACGATCTAAATAACCATAACAATGTTCAAGAGATTGTGGTCGGACAGGTTTTCGCCCGCGTGGTCGCAGTTTTGCGGACTCTGGCAGGTTTTCCTGTACTGAACATCACCGTCGTTAAACAGGTATGTCTTTATACAGTAGACAGCTCGGGAAAAGATTTCTTTGTGTACTTTAGGTCGATCGTTTTAAGTTACTGCTACTGTCAAACCTGGACTCAGAGACTGAGGAAAGTGGTTGCCAAGGTTTCTACTATATATTAAAATGGGTTAGTCGGTCAGATGATTGGTACATGTGCAAAACAAGTTTCATTTACACATTTGAACTGATCTGTGTTTAATTACCGTTGCAAATATTACAGAGCGCAGCGGAAAATATTGCTTCTATCCATGGAGTTAAAATCTCCTTGTTCTATCTAACTCCAAGCATCGTATTTGTTTTAATCCATGAGGTCACGGTAGGCGGCCTATATATAGAGATTGCAACTTCCTTCATGAATGATCCGTACGGCAATTGTTGTTTACCATTCTCACTTTGCTGTCACACTATCATCTTCTTCTTTTGGTTGAGGCGACCACTCAACATTTTTGAATATTCTGTCGCCTATGGTTGAAACTGCATGCTGGGAGTGGGTCTTCATGTAGACTGTAAGGGGTGATGCTAGTTGTCTCGTGTTTTGTGCTCAGTAAGAAGGTAAGGGCAGGGTCAGGATTTGGCATTGAAGCTGTCCAGAGTGGGGGAGAGGATAGCCTCTGCAGACAAACAGCTAGTTGCAGTCCCGGATCGTCCTTGGAAAGAAGGACTGTTGTCTGTACTCTGTGCGGCAGGAAGGAACCCTGTAGGTTGCTGGGTGGGTCTGTCTTGTGCTTCTTGTATGCTTTGCAAGCATCGGCCTTGATGAGACTGCCACTAGTATGAAACTTGTAAAATGCAGTGAGCCTGGCTCTCCTCCTACGGTCTCTGAGGGTCGGCCACTCTAGATCTTGGATCATGGAGTCGACACTCGATGTCTGTCTGTGTCACTATGCCCTTTGAAAATGATTACGAGTTTCATCTTGGACACACTGGCACACACACACATAGTAGGATCCTTATGGTATGTTAAGAAGCTTAAGTCATGATCATTACAAGATAATGGCAACGTGTCACTGTGCATCCTCCTCATATGTTTGGAAACTGTACACGTAGTTGGAACGGTGATACCGGCGCTGTCTTACCTGAGGTTCGTATCGATCTACCCATATGATTTTTAAGGAAACGTGTTTTCATTGTAGATCAACAGTTGAACTAAACATGAGTGAAAGTTGCCAGATAGCATACATCGGTGACGTCAACAAGACAGCATACAATGGTGACGTCTCCAAGACACCGTGCAACGGTGACATCACCTCGTGCAATTGTGACGTCACGAAAGCAACATGCAACGGTGACGTCACTTTCAACGGCGACGTCAACAGTAACGTGATTGGTCCGGAGGGAAGGTGGCTGCCCATCTTCCAGGTCGACGCGTTCACGGACAAACCGTTCTCCGGCAACCCTGCAGCCATCTGTCTGGTGGAGGAAGGAGTGAGTGTGGTGCTGAAGATTCAATCTATCTGTTTTGTTTTGTTTGTCCGTCTGTTTGTCTCTGTTTGTTACCCGTGACATGCTTACAATGCAGTCTGGGTAATGGTGCGAGGTTTGCCAGTTCTTTGAACGATGATTTTTTGTTCGCCAATCAGTTTTTCCAGAAATGGAGCCTAACTTTCGGGGAGGAGGGGGGTAGCAAAGAGACATAGACTGAAAGCAAGAGGAAACACTGTGGCTAAACTGTAGCATGTACTTGCCTTTACCAGGACTTAACAGATGACGAACAACAGAAGATCGCTGCTGAGATGAACCTGTCTGAAACGGCCTTCCTCCGCAAACTCAGCCACAAGGACGA